GTCTTGTAAAAGGAAGAAATAATGTTTTTCTATGTAGCAACCTTCATTATGCAGATGATACAACCTTGCTTGCTGAAACTGAAGAGGACCTGAAATGCTTGCTGCAGAAGGTCAGGGACTGTAGTCTTTACTATGGATTGAAACTCAAAATCAAGAAGACAAAGATTCTCACCACTGGGCCAGTTGAAAGTACCATGATAGATGTAGAAGAGATTGAGGTTAATCACAATTTCAGCTTTCTTAGATCCACAACCAATACTGTTGGCGCTAGCAGTCAGAAAATCAAAAGATGAGTTGCCCTGGGAAAATGTGTCATCTGGGACCTTACCAGTGTACTGAGAAGCAATGATGTCAGTCTACATAATAAGGTGTGCCTGATCTAGTCAGTGGTCTTCACAATTACTTGTTATGCATCAGAGAGCTATATAATGACTAAGGATGACAGAAGAAGAAGAATTGATGCTTTTGAGTTGTTGTGCTTGAGAAAAGTATTTAACATACCATGGACTACCAGGGAAACACAGAGTACTGTCCTGGAGAGTGAAATAAAGTTTCTCCTTGGAGGCTAGGATTTTTGAAACTCTATCTCACATACATTGGGCACATGGCCAGGAGGGACTGGCCATTGGAGAAGGACATCATGCTTGGAAGAGTGGAGCAACAGTGCAGGAGATGAAGACCCCAGATGAGAGAGAGTGACACAGTAACTGGGACAATGGGGTAGGTGTGTCAAAGCCAGTGAAACTGGTTCAGGATAGGGCAGGGTTCAGAGCTATTGTACATAGGGTCACTATATGTCGCAGGCAACTCAGCAGCACAGGACAACAACAACAAGATCTCCACACAGATTTATTTGACATTTAGTTAACATTTTCTATACCTGCCAGAGAGCTCTGGCATAGTCCATAGTGTGCTGTGCTACTAACCAAAAAGCTCTAACTCTAGTGGTTCAAATTCACCTGCTATCCCATTGGAGAAACATGGGCAATCTTCTCCCATTGTGATTTACTGTGGAAACCCAATGGAGGGTCATTATGAGTTGGAACTAACTAAATAGAGTTTATATCTGCCGGACATTGTGATCTCATGAGTCAAATCATGTGGCTGAGGTTGGGAATACAACTGCAAACAAGCAAATTCATCCACAATCAATATAATAATGATTCACTTCATCGACCTTACACTTTTAAACCAAATAAATGTGATAATTTACAAATGGGATTTTTATCACATGAAGGCCCCTTGTAATTTATTCCAGAATGAAAAGAAATTTCTAAAATAGTGTTTACAATATGGATCAAATCTTAGTATGTACAACAGACACAGAAAAATGCACCAAAGGGATATATGCCAAAAGGTCAAGACTATTGATATCTAAATGGTGGGAACACAGATTTTTGAAAACTTGCATCTCTATTCATTAACACAATCTTACAGTACTCAAACATTGCTACTGAAAATTTTAGAAAAAGGATTAAAAATCAAGTTTAAAACAAGGCATAATTGAAACATTTTAAGATCTCATTAGGGATGTTTTTGACATTTATTTAGAACGTTCTTTATCTACCAGGCATTGAAAGCTCTTGAATGTTTTATATCATATTACTGAAAATAGGAACAGGAACACAACCTCAGAAAAATAAGTTACCTCAAAATCCTTATCACAGTAATTTAGCAGCTCCCACATGTTTATTACTAACTTTTTGAACAAGAGGAAAAACCACTTAGTGTCTTCTGTTTGACTTATCTTTCCAGCAAGTTGCTTCCAATATTAATATATTCAAGCTTGTTCAGATCACAGTTGAAGCAAATGGTAAAGAACTTGAAAATTGAGCAAGATAGCTATATGTGTATCACATGATTTGCTTCTTAAATATCAGTAATAAGACTTCTAGAAGGCAAATAGAGTCAAAAGTGTGGTTTCTAAAATCAAACAGTCTAAATTCAATCCTTTATATTACTGTCTGTGCTACCAGAAGCAAGCAAGTTCATTAAGTTCTTTAAATCTTGGTTTATTCATCTACAAAGTAGAAACAATTACCCCATAGATTTGTGTGGGTTAAATATGACCATGTACACAAACTCCATAGAACAGAGCAAAATCTTAACAAATACTACTAGATTTAGAAATTTTAAGTGTCAAGATCATGAACTCCCTGAATAAAAATCTCTTGTACCTCTTCATCTTCAAATCATGACTATCTGGAAAGTAAAACACTGCATTGCAAGATAAAACACAAGATAAAACAGGTTGTTATTATGTTCCATCAAGACATATGTGACTCATAGTGACCCTATGTACAATAGCCCTAAGCCCTGCTCTATTCTGTGTCAATCTTATTGTCTCTGACATGGGTGGAGGGAAAAAATTGAGACTATCAATGATATCCTTCAAGAAGAAGGACTAAATGTATTTACAGTTAATTATGTGGACATAAGTTTCAAGTCTTCCTCTCCTTTCCTCTTCTATCCCTCATCCATTTCTCAGTTTTATGCAGGCCCTCTGGCAACCGACAGAAAGCTGAGGAAATTGTCATGTAAGCAAGTAAAATATATGAGGAATTTAGACATCTTTTAGGAAGTATCAGCTTTGAGTAAAAAACAAAACAAAACAAAAAAATTCCTAGAGAGCAAGTTTATCGTATACTCACAGATAGGAACACTTAAAGGGTTATTTTTAAGTGTTAGTATCTATTCTGTCTCCACACCTTTTCAATCTGTATGCAGAACAGATCATCCAAGACACTGGGCTGTATGAGGAGAAATGTGGCATTGGGATTGGAGGTAGATTCATCAACAATCTACATTATGAAGATGACACAATCCTGCTTGCTGAAACTGAGTAGGACCTTAAGCACTTGCTGCAGAAGGTCAAGGACTGCAGCCTTTAATATGGATTGAAGCTCAACATCAAGAAAACAAAGATTCTCACCACTGGACCAATTGGCAGCATCAGTATGGATGGTGAAGAGATTGAGATAGTTAACAGTTTTAGTTTACTTGGTTCCGCAGTCAAGATTCTCGGTATCAGCAGCCAGGAAATCAGGAGTTGAATTGCATTGGGAAAGTCAGCTGTGAGGGACCTCTCAAGAGTACTGAAGAGCAATGACGACAGGCTGGAGTCTAAGGTGCACCTGATCCAGGCTATAGTCTTCGCAATTACATGTAATGCATCAGAGAGTTGGACAGTGAATAGGGATGATAGAAAGAGAATTGATGCCTTTGAACCTTGGCTCTCGAGAAGGTTGTTGAATATATTGACCATTGACTGCTAGGAGAACAAATAGGTTTGTCCTGTAGAGGGGGAAGCCAGAGTGCTCCTTGGAGTCAAGGATTCTGAAGCTTCGTCTGACATAATTTGGGCATGTTGCAAGGAGGGACTGGTCCTTGAAGACAGACATCATGTTTGGGAGAGTGAAGGGACGGCACAGGAGAGGAAGACCCTAGATGAGATGGATCGATTCTGTGAGTGGGGTGGTGGGAATGGGTGTGTTTGAGATGATGGGATTGGAACAGGATAGAATGGCGGTTAGGGCTTTTGTACATAGGCTTGCTATGAGTCACAAGCAACTCGATGGATCTATGAGCAGTCTGCATTATGCAGATAACACAACCCTGCTTGCTGAAACTGAGGAGGTACTGAAGCACTTGCTGCAGAGGGTCAAGGACTGCAGCCTTTAATATGGATTGAGGCTTAATGTCAAGAAAACAAAGGTTCTCACCACTAGACAAATTGGCAGCATCAGGATGGATGGTGAAGAGATTGAGATTGTTCACAGCTTTAGTCTGCTTGGCTCCACAGTCAACACTATTTGCACCAGCAGCCAGGAAATGAAAAAATGTATTGTGATAGGAAAGTGTGCTGTTAGGGACCTCTCCAAAGTACTGAAGAGCAATGGTGTCTCTCTGGAGACTTAGGTGCGTCTGGTATAGGCCATGGTCTTTGCAATCACTTCTTATGCATCAGAGAGTTGGACAATGACTAAGGAGGATAGAAGGAGAATTGACGCCTTTGACCTGTGGTGTTGGAGAAGAGTATTGAGGGTACCATGGACTGCTAAGAAAACAGATTCATCCTAGAGAGGGTTAAACCAGGCTCCTCCTTGGAGGCAAGGATTCTGAGGCTTTGTCTGACATACTTTGGTCATGTTGTAAGCAGGGACCAGTTGTTGGGGAAGGACATCATGCTTGGGAGGGTGGGGGGCAGGCGCAGGAGGTGAAGGCCCTCTAGAGATGGATTGATTCGGTGACTGGGGCACTCCGGATGAGTGTATCAGAGACAATGAGATTGGCACAGGACAGAAGAGAATTTAGGGCTGTTGTACATAGCGTTACTATGAGTCACAAGCAACTCTACGGCACACAACAACAACAACAAATACTTGTCTATATACATCCATTAAATATGTCTTTTCCCATCTAGCATACTTATCTTAGTTTCAAACACAGTTCATCGCTCCATAGTCAGTACAGAGTCAGGGAACTGCAGGACCAAGTATAATACAGTCTAACTACGCTATGATGAATCTTCATAAACTGAGGGTGGCAGGAATCAAATAAAACAATGAAAAATCGAACCTCAAACTCATTGTCATCAACTGGCACTGACTCGCACTTACCCTACAGCATGTTTTAGGTAAGCACTCAAATCACAAACCCACTAGAGCTCCCTCATGGACTAAAAATCTTTATAACGGGAAGTGACAAATAGGTAAACTTTCTGTTATTAACAAAAAGGGTGGAGGTTTGAATCCAACTAAGATGCCTCACACAAAAGGCCTGGTGAGGTACTTGGGGGGAAAATATCACCAGTTAAAAACTCCATGGAGCACAGCTTTTCTCCAACATGCATCAAGTTGCCAGAAGTTTGACGCAATAACAACTGATACATAAAGGAGGAAGATAAACTTGCTTGAAAAAAAAGTAAAAATATCTTCCACATAAAAACTGGAGTCCAAATCATCTATGTGGGAGGTGGGGGGAAATTAATTGCCTCTTTCTTAGGAGAAGAATGTTTTGTTCAAAGTTTTCTTTAAAGCAATTTTGACATCTTTATTCCTCAAACTATAGATTAATGGGTTGAGCATAGGTACCACTATGGTATAGAACAAGGAGGACACTTTCCCCTGGTTCATAGGTAAAAGAGAAGATGGTTTGAGGTACATGAATGCCCCTGATCCAAAGAAAAGAGAAACAGCAATGATGTGGGAACTGCAGGTGCTGAAGGCCTTGGACCTGCCCTCTGTGGAGCTAATCTGGAGAATGCTAGAAAGGATGAGGGTGTAAGAGACAAATATTGTGATTGTAGGTACGCCGATATCAATGCCCACCACGATGAAGACAACCAGCTCATTCACATACGTGCTAGTGCAAGAACGTTCAAGAAGGGGAAGAATGTCACACATGTAGTGGTTGACAAGGTTGTCAGCACAGAATGTCAGTCTCACCATGCATGCTGTATGGGCCATGGCCCCTGCAAACCCCATTATATAGACACCTAACAGAAGGAGCAGGCAGACCTGGGGAGACATGGAGACTGTGTACATCAGCGGGTTGCAGATGGCCATGTAACGGTCATATGCCATTGCCGACAGGATGAAGGACTCAGAAACAACAAAAAAAAGAAAGAAAAAGAGCTGAGTCATACAGCCTGCATAAGAAATAATGTTCTTCTTTGAGACAAAACTCATCAGCATTTTAGGGGTGATTACAGTGGAATAGCAGAAATCTATGAAGGATAAGTTATATAGGAAAAAATACATGGGTGTGTGCAGATGAGAGTTCAGCCCAATCAGGGTTATCAAGCCCATGTTCCCCACCACAGTGAGTATATAGGAACCTAGAAACAGGAAGAAGAGGGGCATCTGGAGTTCTGGCTGGTCTGTTAAACCTGCGAGGATGAATTCTGTCACAGAGGAGTTTCTGGCTACCATCTTCATTTAAGGCATTCTGTGGGAGAAAGGGGGAAAGTTTCTTATAGAAGAAAAAGAGAGACCACCTTTCCATCCTATCTCCTCCCCCAAGACCGAAGACTGGATGCACACAGAGTTTGAACTTCAGCAGAGAGATCTATTCTGACCCTTCTAGGTCTGTTTTCCTAGAGCCCATGAGATTCTACCCTCTAAGAGAAGGATTTGTCTCCATGGTGAAGGCAGGTATTACTGAACAAAAGGGACTGAGTGATGAGTTAAGATGACTCTCAGTTACTGTGCCCTTTCAACTACATTTTCTGCAAACTGTGGCCCGTCTTTGAAAATTAATCCACTCAGAGGTGGAAGTCACTTTGACCATACATCAAGTGTTCTCTTCAAAGTCAATTTGGACAGAGCAGAAAGTTAAGGTGGTCTTTCTAAGAGCCTGCAGCACAGAACTTTAGGAAACTTTAACCCAGTTTCATCACATACCTCCTCCAGCCTAGATATCTTTTTGGATCAGTTCCTGTCCTCAGTTGTTCAAGCAGAGAAATGGCCCTGGTAACAACACAAATGAAGAAAGTATGCACAGATCTCCTTATTCTTGTCCTGTTTAGAACAGGAGGATTTTTTTTTTTTTTGCAATAAAATTCCTTCTGAGCTAAAGATACACAATCTGGTCAAGAATTTGCCCCAAGGCTTTCTTCATTTTGCAGAATGGAGGCAACATCCTTTCCTGTCATCACTGCCAGGCAGTGCCAGGAGGCAGAGCAATTTTAATCTGGGTGTAGAAACCTGGAATCTTATTAGAAGTGTAAAGTCAGAGACTCCCTCAGGATCACAGTCAGAAATTGAACTTAGAATGAAGACATTTTTACTTATGCCCTAGATAATAATTACATAAACTTTTGAAAACTGTGTCTAATTAATATCTGTCAACTATATGTAAAGCCATGCTTGGGTGGGGCAAACAGTTAAGCCTTTGGCGACTAAACATAACATTAGCATTTTGAGCTGACTTAAAGCATCACTGAAGAAAAAGCATGAGATCTATTTTTGAAAAAGCAATTCTTGAAAACCCAGTGGAAAAAAGTTCTGCTGTGGCACACACGAAGTCATCAGACATTGGAATCAGCTCCACAGCAATTCATCTGCAGCTTTTTGTGTTGTTTGTTTTAAGAAGCAAAGCACTGTGAAATAATAATAGTTTTCTATGTCTTTAAGTCTTATTATGTATCCAAATCTTTAGCCATTCTAGCAATTATATATTAACTTCTACATGTCTGGCTCCAGCACCATTTTATGTATAACACTTAACTTTAGTTCTCCCCAAATCCAATAAAACCATTTTTGTTATTCTCATTTTACAGAAGAAATTATCAGATGTTATAGTATAAAAGTAATACACAAATCTGTGTACCTCTGACTCCAAAGAAATGTTCTTAGCAACTATGCTTAATATTGAAGAAAATTAAATATAAAAAGCAGAAGTCTTCGTTTGGCTTTACCAGTCTTGGAAAGATGAGATACCACATAAATAAATGTATAGGAAAAATGATAAAGATCCAAAAATAAAAATAAAAATGTTAATGTGGTTTCAAGGGAAGATATTTAATTTACTGTTTAGAATCTAATTTATCAAGACAGTATTTGGTACAGAGGAGAAATTAACCTTTCTTCTTCATAATTGAAGCTTGCCGATAATGAACAATCTTTATCAATTAATAACAGTAAAAAAAAAATAATAAGTCATTTCCAAAGTTGTTACCTTGTTGGAATGCTCCTTGATAGTCTCTTTCCTCTATCTTTACTCTTTCCAATATTGTCCTCAGGTAACTTCCCAGCTGTTATGCCTCATAGGAGCCTTTGTCCTGGTAACTTGACTCTTCCTCTCTGTGATGGACCCAATTACATTGCATTCCCTTTTTTGTTGCTTTGGCATTTTTCTAACGTCATTCATGACTAATGCCATATGTATCCAGTATGCTCAAACGCACTGTTAAAGCCACTTGTGTACATCCACCTTGTTGACATTAGTCAAAGACTGGTCCCTCCTGACATCATGCCTAAAGTACATGAGATGAAGTTTTACCATCTTTGCCTCTAAGGAGCACCTTAGTTTCACTTTCTCTCAAACAGATTTGTTTCTTCTTTTGGTAGTCCATCAGGTCCTGGATGCATGCTTCATACATTTCTTGTTATTAAAAGATGTCTGCAACTGTCTATTCTCATTTTTTACTGTCTTCCAACCTGAAGGATTAGTACTTCTAGTACTGTATTAAACAATATCCTCTATTATACATAGAGTTTGGGAAATTATCTTCTTTCACAAGTGGATGGGCAATCCTGCTTCTTAGTCTGTCTTAGTCTAGAAGTCCTGCTGAAACATAAACACTATTGATTACTCTACTGATATTTGAATAATGGTGATGGCATAATTTCTAGGATCACAGCAATCTGCAAGTCACTCCAACCTCAGAACATAAAAGTGACAGACAATTCTGTACTCATAAAAGCAAAGTATAAAGAAGCAAACACATACGTACACAAACTAGAAAATAAGCAAAACCACACAAGTTATGTCATTAGACTCAAGTATAAAATCTGGATTGCAACACAAATGAGGGTTAAATGAGATTATGAAAACTAAAGAACCAAGTAGAAGGGCTCTCATAGGAGAAAAGTGGTAAATGTTATCAGTAGTAAGATAAAATATAAGCAATTTGTAGAGGAAACTAAACAGACATAAAATTTACTATATTCTAGATGAGCTTGAAAATGTCAAAATAGGACCAATAGAATGTGAATGCTGAGATCTGGGATAAGAAATAATAAGATTGCTGAAATTTTATAATTTTTTCTTCAAAACATTATCTAAGGTCCATCTGCCTAATATAACTTAATCAATAGAGAGGTTCAGAATTTTTTAATATTCCACTCCATCTCTACTTTCTCTCCCAACACCAAAGTCAGAGTCTCTCCAGTGGCCTAGTGCTAAGAAGCTGCACTGCAATCCTCCTGCTGTCTCCTCCTGTGTGATTAGCTGCCTCTGAAAACCTACTGGAGGCTCAGCTATGGGTCAGTTCCGATTCGATGTTACAAAACAACCACCAACACCTCACAAACACCAAATAAAGAAGTCAGACAATATTTCCTTTGTATCCTCCAATCTTCACTTTCTGAACCCATTTCAATCTCAGTAGAAATTCCATTTTCCAAAAGGCCCACAATCCTAATGCTTGTTCTGCCTTCAACTTTTCATCAAAACCAATTCCCTACAGAAGCTAACATATTTTGTTTCTGAGTACTAAAGCTTGCTTGGATCATTCAACTTCACACTTTCTCCTTGGCATTTTATTTTTAATGAAGTAAAAATTTAGTAAAAAGAGATCTCTAATTAGGGAATTTAACAAAGTTGATGAATGCTGTATTTTGACCAAGGTGGATGACTGGAGTCATTATGTCTATGTTGTTTTAGGGTAACCATGTGTCAATTATGACGCATAGTGACACCATGTAATAGAGTACAACTGATTTTCTAGAACAAGATTCTCTTGGCTGTATTCCTTACTACATTGGCAGCTGTCTATCTGCCACTTAGCAAGCCAATTACAATTCCTGTATAAAATGTGTGTGTGTGTGTGTGTGTGTGTGTGAATGTAGGTGACATTTTTGCAATCCTCAGTGCTTGCTATCCCTCCCCATGTGAGATCTATTTTAGACACTGTAATGAGGCTTCAAACATAAATATCACACTTAGATTTCTACTTCCTTAATGATTGTGATAAATCTGAATCTCTATCCTTATTTCAACTCTAGTCAACTCACAATTAGAGCAAATAAAGCATTATTACAACTTGAAGTTATTCCCACAAGAAAAGCTCCCCTTTGGGCACAGAAAGTAAATTCATCATTATAAGTTGACTTTTTTTTCTAGGAACCTTAGAGAATTCTTGTTTGGATGATACAACAACCAAGAATGTATGTTACTCCAAAGCTTGTTGCTAGGGCAACAACATTTCAAAATCTTCTCAACAGGGACTGTGCTGAAGTCATGTTCCTTGATGAGCAGATGAAGCCAAAACAGGAAGCCGTGTAGGAAGATCTATTCTTGACTGTACTCCTTTGGTTGCAAAACTACCCTCTTTTCAAACATTGAATCTCTATATAATTCTTCCTTCTCCTAATTAACTCTATTTTTTTCATTGCATTCTATTTGTGTCACTATAACTATATATATATATTCATTTTAATGTCTTTTACATCTTGGCAATAATTCATGTAGTAGATGAGGTTGACCTCAAATGCACTAAAAATCATTATATACCGAAAGAGGTTAAACACAAGTCACAGTTTTATAAGAAGAAACACAGAACATGTTTAGAATTTTTTAAAAAATAATTGATAGTTGAAAAATCATTATTTCAAACCTCCTCATTAGCCTCTGACACAGGGGAAAAAAATAAGTTTATTTATCAGTCATCTATGAAGTCACTCAGTTCAAGTATACTCAAATGAGTTTAAGTTATTTTGGTTTTTTATGAAGGTTTTTTTTTCTTTGTTTTGGGTTTTCCAGTTACAGTTTTCTGTTAAACTTAGTTTACATTTATTAGATAATTTTGTTGTTGTTGTGTACTGTCAAGTCAGAACTGATCCATAGTTGAGTCTTTTTAGAGTTTACAAAGGCAATTAATCTCAGGAAGGAATTGTCCATCTTTTCCCTATGAAGCAGTTGTGGATTTCAACCACATGCCTTTGGGATTGTCGTGCATCTTATTACCACCCAATATACAAATATGTAAATTATTTTTATCTGTGCTAAATAAAGAAGTATAATTAAGAAGGAACTTGAAAAAAACATACTTCAGATAAACAAAATGAAATCAATTACTTCAAGTCAAATCCAACTCATGGTGACACTAGATGCATGCAAGTTGAATTGTGCTCCACAGAACTTACAATGGCTGATATTTTAAATTAGATTCCAAATTTTCTTCCAAGGCAATTTTGAACCCCCAACAGAGTGT